CGCTTTGATAATGCAACTTTGTCATAGTTTCGTCGTGGTCTTCAATTAAATCTCAATATCGATTCAATGTCATTTGGTAAGTCACTCCTCTTATAACTAAATTGCATTTCGAAATTTGTTCTTTTATGTAAGTTGTTTTTTTTTTTTGTAGCATAGTTCGAAACAATATGGAGAATGCATAGAAAGTTGCACCAGTTGAGTCTAAAATTAAAAAGCAATAAGACGAACCAGAATAGATTTTCGCATTATAAACATCATCACTCGTTGTATTAGATTTATATAAGGAATATGAATGGAAGCAGTTCTCCGGCGTTTTCCGTCATTGTAGCGGGTTTTACTTGAACCAACCACTTTCCATTCATGTCAACAGCAAAATGCAGTATAGAACAGAGAGCAACCATTTATAAATTGTTATTCTTCCTAGGTCGATTCAGATTCTTGCACAATCTGGTCGAGAGCTCTTGTTCTTTGTAGCATGATTATGTAAAGTACGATTGGATTGGTGGTGAAATTTGCAGATAATGACCAATGGGATAATCAAGAGCCCGGTGCTTGGAGTTTTGACGAGTGCGAACAAGGCCGAGGTTATACAGAAATGTCAGAAACTTCGCTGCTTTCAACTACGAAGGCTTTCAGAAAGGCAAGGTCGCACTCGAGGAAGTGCGGATTTGACTGATGGTCTAGAATGCATGTGCACCGAAGTCTAAATCTTGGAAGTTCAAATGAGTTCAGAGCCCATTTTTCTAAATCCGTGATTGGGTTGCATGTCGGGCCAATCCAAATAAAATTCATAATCTCGCCTATGTTTATATTCGATGCGGACATGCTATTCCGAAACGAAAAATGCCAATAATCTTTAAATGCAACGATATGCATTAAAAAACGAGAATGCAACGCTATGCAATATTGCCATTTTTGTTTTGGGGTCAAATTCCATCGTTATCAACGAATTCGATCCCTATATTTTATGAAATGTATGAGAGATCTTGGGGGAAAATTTTAGGTGTTAAACACCGTCAAATTGAAAATAAGTAAATCTTCCATCAATTGCGGATACTCTTCAAAGGCCAAGTAAATGCTATATTCAAAGGAACATTCATAATATGACTTACGAAGAAGTTAATAGTAGTTCACGGATAGTAATTTTAGGCAATTGGTCACGGAATATGGATTGAATATCTTGACAAAGTGTGTCACGCCCCGTACCCCACGAAGCGTGAGCATCCCACCTGCGGTCGATAAGTTGGCTGCGACGTCCCAGGAAGCGTCGCCGACCCAAACCCAAACAGAGATCAAGCACAAGCGGAAGTACGCATATAAATATATATATACACCATGACAATAAAATACATGAGGCCAAGGTAGCACAACCAGCAAACAACACCTCTGAAAGTATGTATACTAGTAGTACCAAAGAAAACTTTTTACACAATTCATTTAGACAACAGCAGAGGAAACACACAGTCAGCAGCCACTCAGTCAAAAGGGGTCAATGAAAAACACTTCGGCTCCTCAGCTTCCTCGACCATGGCTGCAGGTCCGTCCCCACAAGGGTGCACACTAGATGACCGCTGGATGAACTGCGGTATACCAAAAAGAGGCGCTCTCCTCGGCATCCTACGGCCGGGGGTCTGAAAAGTTTCGGTTTACACAACCGTGAGACGAATCTCAGTGAGTTCAACCCCTAAACCTAGGCTAGGCTAGCATGCAATCTCCTGACCGGAAAATAAATAAGTGAAATCATAGTGCAACAATAATCAATTAATCCTCCGACCCTGCAGGTTAGGCAGTTCAATATATAATAATCACGGCACGTACGTGGCACATATTATCACAGGTACGCCAATCACATGCTCATGCACCGAGGCTCACACACTCGCATGCCAGTCCATGCATGTTCATGCGTGCAAATGTCGTCGACATGTCACGTGTATTTCCCGGCCCACTGGCCCACACTGGCACACTGACAATCGCCCAATTTATTATTTATTACGACTCGAGTCAACAACATTCACGGCCCGGTGCGTCTAGCCTCGCTTCAAAGTGCATGAGGCGCAACAACCGATCTCGGCCCGGTGTCTCTAGCCTCGCTTCAAAGTGCATGAGGCGCAACACTGTTCTCCTTGCGAACCGTAGCCTGCTTCAAAGTGTATGAGGATGGTCGCCTTCCGGACGTACCGGGCATCGTCCTGCTTCAAAGTGCATGAGGACGGTATCGACCCGAAGGTCATGACCCAACGGTCCTTAGGTGATCACACAACTCATTATTATCTGAACCCAGCGTATAACGCTTCAGGGTATTTTAGGTGATCACATGCTCATGGCAGACATGCATTCTCACGCAAGTTCATCACATGCCTCACTCTTGGCATACGCAATGCGTGTCCATGTTATGCAATGCAATGCACCACGAGCACCAATATAATTCAAACACCCAATGTCACAACACGTGCTTAATTGGCCCAATTAATACCGTGTGGCCTAACGTGCGATTCACCAATCAGTAAATCATTGTAAACCAAACAATGGCCAATCGCACTCCATAAAATCAGCCACACCACAAACGACATAGCAGTACGAAATCAATCACAATTAAGCACAATTGACGTACAATCAGTCAATCCGGACATACCCGGTAATTTTCCAACGGGCTCCTAAATTGGTCATTTAATCCAATTAATCTCCCCAATTAATTCTCATTAATCCACTAAATTTCCCAATGATAATTTCTACCAATCCGTCCTCAACCCAGTCTGAAATACACACTGATACCATCTAAGCCAGTCTAAATTGTACCGATAATACCTAAACCACGAAAACGCACTAACAATTCTAATCCGGGTTTAGGAATTTTACTCACTTAATTTCGGACCACGACGACGGGAACGGCGGCCGATCACCGATGAACAAAGTGAAACCGGCGGCGGAATTCCCGGGGCGCGACTGTTCACTCGGCACTGTTCACGGTGGTACTATTCACAGGAGTACTGTTCACAGCGACTGTTCACCGCGGTAAGGACTTGTACGGACGGGCGGAAAACGGTGGCCGGCGAAGTGCCGGTGACGGCCGCGACGGCGTACGGTCGAGATGAACAGTGATCCGTACGGACCCATACGGACAGGGCTGGATGGCGACGCACGGCGAGGCTGGACGGCTGGGTGGTGACGGAACAGCGATCCGAGCTCCGGCGAAGCTCCGGCGACCCTTTTTGCCGGACGGGAAAGAGAAAAAGAAGGAGAAAGAGAGAGAAAGGGAGAGAGAAAAGGGCTGGATAGGGGCGAGGCTGAAGCTGGGGGACTATGTGGTCGACGGCGGGGCACGGCGGTCGGCGGCGGCACTCCGGTGGCCGGCGGCAAACTCCGGCGAAGCCAAAACCAAGAGAGAAAATGGAGAAAAAGAGAGGAAAATGGAAGAGAAGCTGCTGGTGGGGGCTAGTTCTGCCGTGAGGGAGGGCTGAGGAGAGAGAAAACAGTCCAACTTGGTCAAATAAAGCAGCCCAAAGTGCCACGTGTCGCCGATCCGTGAAAAATGACCAAAACGCCCCTAATCTAACGGTTCTAAAGAGATAGGCTTAAATAATTGAGGGGCAATTGGGTCTTTGGTGCCAATAATGCAGCTGATAACCACAGTTACTTATCCCAAAAATTTCCCAAAAATTCGGACCCGAAAACGGCCCAGGGGCAAAACCGTCATTTTTCCGGTCCCGGGGCGAAATTCCAATTTTCGCACATACGTGTTCCATATGTGCGTGGCCAACATAATATGGCGTCGGATTCGCGAAATTCACTTTCTAAGCTCTCGAAAATCGACTGCGAAGTTTCGGGAATAAAATAATATTATTTTTCCAATTTTTGTCGAAATTCCAATTTTTGGCCAAAACCACTCTAAATATGCATGGCCACCCCAAAATGATCTTGGCCGCGAAAAATAACCTCAAACGGCCTCCGAATCCAGCCTCGGTGCCCACAGGGGCAAAACCGTAATTTTTCACCCCCGGACCGAAATTCCACTTTTTGCTCGTACTAACTCCAAACGTGTGTGGCCAGCGTAATATGACGTCAGATTCCCAAAATAGTCTCTTAAGCCTTCGAAAATCAACATCGAAATCCGGGCCCAATTTCGTGATCAAAACTCGCTCAATTTCCAATTTCAGGGTCTCTCACTAACGGGCGGCTGTTTAGGACATACGCGTATCGACCTAGGGTTATTCGAATTACGACGGTCCCGATTATTGAGAGAATGAGAAATTATCATTAGTTCCAAAAATCACGATCGTTAGGTTCAGGTTCAGGACTGGTTGGCCACGTGCACTTTCGGTCTTGCAGAATCACCTGCGATCCGATTGTACATCGTTGGCCTTGGCCAAACCAAATCCATCACCTTTCCTAAGATCGGCCCACGTTGGCCCAAAATATTCACTCATCGTATCTCGAGATCGGTGTCCCGTTCACTATCGAGTCCCTAGTCCACGTACCGTTTCCTAGTTAGCCATACCCCATTGGTTAGTATCCCGAGAGTGATCAGCTCTGGGCGAGACTTACTAAAATGAAATGCGAAATATTGTCAATTTTATTGATCCCGGAATTACGTCGAAATTCGGGCTGTTACGAAGTGCTCGAAATTGCTCAACGGTTCTTCGCATTGCCAGTTGAAGAGAAACAGAAATATTCACGAGCATCGAATGAGGCTGAAGGGTATGGAGATGACTTGGTTGTAAACGAGAACCGAGTTAAGGACTGTTGCTGTCGCTTGTTTCTGAAAGTACTCCCTGAAGATCAAAGGAGGATGAATCTTTGGCCCGAAAATCCCGCTGATCTCGGGTATGTCCAAAGGCAATAGCCAACTTGCTGTTTCATGTACCGAAATTGCAGTTGAAAATACTCATGGAAAATGAAACGCTTGTGTTTCTCTATGAATTCCTTGCTAATTCAACACGATTTCATAAGAACAGAGATATCCAAAAATATTGTCTCAAAAGAAGTGAACATGTTGTTTCATTAAACTAGTGATACACAGAAGAACAACCTACCCTAAAGTCTGGACAAGTAAGACACGAAATTTGCAAATCTTATCGGCAATAGAATAATATTCCATCACTGCTTTATTCCATAATGATGTTATATACCCTGATTTAAATTTGTTCATTCTTTCTTGTCTTTCTTATTGACAGTGAAACCTTGCGTGAGTATGCTCTCAAGATTAGATCAGCGATGAATGATCTTTCTAAGGCGAAGGCCAGGTCACTCGAGTTGGAGGAGAACAGCTTCTTGGATCAGTATGGAGACCGGCCGGTCTTGGAAGTAAGGTTCAACTTCTATCCACCATGTTCCAGGGCTGAAGTTTTTGGCGCCAAACCTCATTTAGACAGATCGGCAATCACGGTCCTTTTGCAGGACAAAGAAGTGGAAGGCCTCCAAGTCCTCAAAGACGGCATGTGGCAGACGGTTCCTGTTATTCCCCACGCTCTTGTCGTCAATCTGGGTGGTCTGATGCAGGTATGCATTCTGCATCAATGTACGGAAAATAACAAATAAGTTGCCTCAGTTGGGTCTGAAAATGCAAACATTGGCGTTGGACATCTATCATTTGAGCGACTGGGTGTTTTCCTCACTGTGGAAGTGATGGTCGCTCTATATATTCATTTTATTAGATATAGGCATGGAATTCGTTGAACGATGAAATTATGAGTAATAATCATTGACCTGGCCCATACACATGTTGCACAAGCTTTCTTAGATATTCCAGTCTTTAGTACGTTAGTGAATTTGATTGGCGACAAGATCTGCAGGTAATGACAAATGGGATGTTCAAGAGTCCCTTGCACACAGTATTGACTAATGCGAACAAGTTGGGAATGTCAATCGCTGTGTTTGATGAGCCAGAGGCAGAGAAAGAAATCGGACCGGTCGATCACTTAGTCGACCACATGAGGCCGAGGTTATATAGAAGTGTCAGGAACTTTGCGGCTTTCAACTACGAGTGCTTCCAGAAAGGAAAGGATTCGCTCAAGGAACTTCGAATTTGACTTATGCCAGTGTTTGCTGTCTAGTATGCAAGTTGGTGTACATGGCATGAAACTGAGTGCTAGTTTTGTGCCCTAAATAAGCATCAGGAGTGGCAAATGTGGGCACAAGAAGCTCAGTAATGTTGTGGTTTCTCAGTAGAGTGAAAGAAATATAGCCACAGAACAATTGTTTTCAAAATTGTAATGTCATCAATAATCATAATCAACATATGTCGTGAGGCAACCTATGAGACGACACTCCCGACCTTGACAACTAGTTGTTCACTTAAATCAGCCCAGTAAAAAGATATTGAAATTATAAATTTTCGTCCCGTCCCACGACTGCTAGATATAAGCAAAAACCTCTTTCACGGTTTTTAATCCCTGATGTATTTTCTATTGGTGTAGACTAGCTGTCACTTTGGTGGTTGAGTTCTGAACTTTAAGAAGCATGAAATGAGACGCAAAGTGTTGATGTCTGTCCTCAAAAAGTTCTCTCATTAAAGCTTGCAATGACTGACAAAACGTTTACGTCTCTTCACATGCACTGATGAATCCAAGATAGTGAAATAAAGATTAGGGAGAATTTTCATGGATGGCGGGCCCTTGTGTTCCTCCACGTGTGGAAAATCGAGAGTGAGAGATGGTCTCTTTTGCCGTGTGAAGTTCTTTAACCAGCCATTCCAGGCCAGTACAGATAAGCTCCTCCTCAGCAACTCTTTCTCACCAAAATTGTTAAATTGTATAACGAGTTTGAGCGTCTACGAAATCCTAGAAGATTTTTTGGATTTGTTCAAAATCAGGCGTGTCCAGTAATCGAAAGCAAATATGGATTTTCTTGGGCGTTGTTTTTGTTGGAGATAATTCTCCAAGGTTTTGACCAAAAAAAGAGAAATCTGAGAAAAAGGTCCATTGAACTAGTTTAACCGCACAAGACAAAATAAAGAAAAAGTTGGGGTAAGGTATTTTATAAAATATTTATGCTTATTTTATGGGATAGAGAAGTCTTTGTCTAAGAAAGAAACCAGAAAAAAGCGTACAACGCGCAAACCCTTTCGTGTCGATTTAAATAGCAAAATCCCATCTGTTTCCGGGTTAATATTACAACAAAAAATCAAACAACCAAAAAGCAAGATCTAAGCATAAATAAGCGCCTTCTCACCAACTCTTACTCATCAAAATCGAACCCACCAAAAGCAAGATCTCTCTCTCCCTCCAATAGTAGAACTTATGATGGCTTGCGAAACAGATGGTGGTGTTCCAGTGACATTCCCAGTGATTGATATCAGCCTTCTGTCCTCAGAAGATGAGCTTCAGAAACTCAGTTCAATTCTCAGCTCTTGTGGATGCTTCCAGGTTTCTATCTCTGCAATCTGTTTCGGGCTTGTTCAGAATAGTTTTGTCTTTATGGTTATGTTTATCCCAGGAACAAAGAAGCTCGCAAGCGGGAATTGGGTCATGTTAATGATGAATTATAGTATATTTCGACTGATTCACCCTTAAAGATCTAGAAAAATTAGTGGGTGTTGCTTCCTTTTGCATCGAGTCAACTATTAGTGGGTTGCTTTGATAATGTAACTTTGCCAAAGATTCTTCATGGTCTTCAGTTAAATCTCACTGTCGATTCAATGCCATTTGGTGGTTTTCCACCAGTTCGGGGTGAGTGGATCAGATGCATATATGGATCACTCGATTCACCGATGATGAAATTAATTTGGCTACTACTTGGCTGTTATACATATGTTTTCGAGACAATGTTAAGATAAATAAATTTGTGCTTATGACATATGAGAGATTTCAATTGATCAGAGTTTCTAAATTCCCAGGCTATCGGTCATGGAATGTCCGTTGGATATCTTGACAAAGTGCGCGAAGTTGCTAAACAGTTCTTCGCACTGCCAAACGAAGAGAAACAGAAATGCTCACGAGCTTTGAATGAGGTGGAAGGATATGGCGATGACTTGGTTGTGACCGAAAACCAAATCAGAGACTCTTGCTGTCGTCTGTTTCTTAGAGTATTTCCCGAAGATCAAAGGAGGCTCAATCTTTGGCCTGAAAATCCCTCTGATTTTTCGTATATGTCTTGCCCTTAACTTTATTTTATTTGTTATTTCGTGGACCAAAACTGCTGCTGTAAATAATCAACACTCTTATTAGCAATAGAATGATATTAGATGACTATTTGCTCCATTTATGATCTATTATCCTGTGATTTACTTATTTTCATTCTTTTCTCTCATTATGATGGACAGTGAAATCTTGCATGAATATGCCCTCAAGGTGAAATCAATAATGAATGATCTTTCCAAGGCCATGGCGAGGTCGCTCAAGTTGGAAGAGAACAGCTTCTTGAACCAGTTTGGAGACCGGCCGGTGATGCAAGTGAGGTTCAACTTCTACCCGCCCTGTTCCAGGACCGAAGTCTTTGGTGTCAAACCTCATTCAGACAGATCGGGAATCACAGTTCTTCTGCAAGACAGAGAAGTCGAAGGCCTCCAAGTCCGAAAAGACGGTGCTTGGTACACGGTTCCCGTCATCCCTGACGCTCTTGTGGTCAATCTCGGCGATCAGATGCAGGTAAAGCAATGGATTTTGCATTCAAGATCAATTCCTTCTCAGCTGTTTTAGGTATAGGATTCTGCATAGTTCGAAACGATATGAAGAATGCACAGAAAGGTACACCAGTTTGGGTCTGAAATCAAAAAGCAATAAGACGAACCAGAATAGACCTTCGCATTATAAACATCATAACTCATTGTATTAGGTTTATATAAGGAATATAAATGGAAGTAGTTCGCCGATGTTTTCTGTCATTTTAGCGGATTTCACTTGAACTAACCCCTCTGTATTCATGTCAACAGCAAAATGCAGTATAGAACAGAGGACAACCAAAGTTAAAGTTTATGCATTGTTATTCTGCCTAGGTCGATTCAGATTCTTGCACAAACTAGTCGAGAGCTCTTGTTCTTTGTAGCATCATGATTATGCTAATGTACGATTGGATTGGTGGCAAGATTTGCAGATAATGACCAATGGGATATTCAAGAGCCCGGTGCATCGAGTATTGACAAATGCGAACAAACTGAGGTTGTCGGTTGCCGTGTTCAGTGAGCCAGAGGCGGAAAAAGAGATCGGACCGGTGGATAGCCTCATCGATGAGACAAGGCCGAGGTTATACAGAAACGTCAGAAACTTCGCTGCTTTCAACTACGAATGCTTTCAGAAAGGCAAGGTCGCACTCGAGGAAGTGCGGATTTGACTGATGGTCTAGAATGCATTGTGATCTGAAGTCCGAATCTTGAAAAGTTCAGATGACTTTAGAGCCCATTTTTCTAAATTCACGATCGGGTTGCATGTTGGGCCTACTCAAATAATATTCATAATCTCGCCTATGTTTATATTCGATGCGGACATGCTATTTCTAAAAGAAAATGTCCATAATCTTTAAATGCAACGATATGCATCAAAGAACAAGAATGCAAGGCTATGCGATATTGATATTTTTGTTTTGGGGTCGAATTCCGTCGTTATCAACAAATTCAATCCCTATTTTTTATGAAATGCGTAAGAGATCTTGGGTGAAAAATTTAGGTGTTAAACACCGTCAAATTTAAATAAGTCAGTAAGTCTTCCATCAACTCGCGGATACTCTACAAAAGCCAAGTACATGCAATTCAAAGGAAAATTCATGATACGACTTACAAAAAAGATAATAATTGTTCACGGATAGTAATTTTAGAGGGGGTTGGTAGCAAATGTTGCCCAGAGTTAAGGGCTTCGCATGTGAATTACTACATGTTATTGAACCATTGCTAGCAAATGTCAAGAGATTGGTACGTTAATATTTTTCATATTTTTAATTATTTTTCTTTTCTTTTCTTTTTCTTTCTTTCTTTCTTTCTTTTTCGTTTTCTTCTTTCATGCCTGGCGAGGGCCTCAGGCCAACCCTCACCTATCACTGGGTCAGGGCCGCGACCCTTGCCAGATCTAGGCGAGGGCTGCGACCCTCGCCAATTCATGGGCCCTCACCAAACTTAATAGAAAAAAAAAAAGAAAAGAGAGAAAAATAAAAAGAAAAAATAAATTCAATTTTTTAAAAAATATTATAAAAAATTATCCACATTAGCGTCATCATTTTATATAGCACTACTAGCATCAACGTCAGTAATTCTTGGTTAAAATTGGCCATATGGACTTAATTGACAAAACATGAAAATGTTTAGGACTCAATTGGCGAAACTGAAAGATTTATAATTGAATTGGCAAAAGTGCAATGGATTTCAGACTTTTTGGACAATTTTCTCAAAGAATCTGTCAAAAGGTTAACAATTGGGTTTGCTTTTAAAATCGCCACTTAATCATTTTTTTTTGTCTATCCTATCTCTAATTCTCTCCTCTCTCTAACTTTTGTTATGCCTTTTGCAAAGAACCCCGCACCTCTGATACTAGTGTCCCCAACTCCCCCCAATCCCTTTACTAGCAAGGCCGCATGCCACTTGATCATTCAAGGCTATTTAATACTAGACCCAAATTGTAAATAAGTATCTTGGTTGCAATAAGATCAATCTAAATCCTCACTTTTCGGGAAAATTACCCAATTAGCCCTAGACCTATGGTACATATGCCAATCAAGTTCTAAACTTTTCGATTTTGCCAACTTAGTCCTAAACTTTTGTGCCAGATTCCAATATAGTCATTCCAGCAAATTTTCGCCGATAGTGTGCCATGTAGGATAGCCAGCGGTAACTGGATGGCCACGTCAGCGACTTTCGACAAAAATCGATCGAAAAGACTATAGTTGAATCTCGCACAAAAATTTAGGACTAAATTGATAAATTTGAAAATTTTAAAACTGAATTGGTATCCATATAATAAGTTTAAGGTCTTAAGGTTGATTGGGTATATTTCCCTCACTTTCCTGGGTCAACTTGCAAAAGTAAAGACCAGATAAAAGAGCAGTAAATAAGGAAGCACATGTGTCCTGATGCAATGCATTGGGAAGAGTCAGCCAAAAGCCTCTGTTTTACATCATCTAGGGTAACATAGTCTGTGAGGCAAGAGTGAATAGACAGATTCATTTGGCAGCAAGAGGAGTCACCTCATACTGGCTCTCAATAGTGACATTACATAGACTTCAGGGACTAATAAAACCACCTTCCTGTGGTGCTGTCGTATCCAACGGAAAACATGCCACAGCAAGCAATCTGACGAAACCATCTTACATCTAACATTACGTATCATGGTGCACTTTGGAGAAGTCAATGAGGAGCTGATTTGTTTGGCCTTCTCTTTTGGTAAACCATCTTACATCTCCCTATTTTCAACTATTTTTCTTTTTTTTAATGGATTTTTATTTGGTCACTGACGGCGTAAAAAACATCATTACAGTTCAAACGCTGACATGTATACGATTTTTAATTTTGGTGACTTAGCACTTAATTCCATTAATAAGCAAAATTTTTCATTTCAAGTGACTGCTCGTGTAAGAAACAGTTTAAGCTTATGGTGTACCTTGTATAAGTTAATTCTTAATTTCCTATAAACTCTGAAAGAATTAGGTTCAACAAAGCAGAGAGAAAAAAAAATTATAAAGCAATGAAACCGTCTACCCCTTTCCTAGCCTCAAGGTCTTGTTATTATTATTTTAAAATCTTCATTATTCAAAAATTAAATCTTAATCAAACGAAAAACCCAGTATAAACAAAATGATGAAATGAAAAATGAAGTCATATCGATATCATTCATCAATCTTTCATAACATAAAATAACATATCGCAATCCGAAACTATATATATTGGTTTTTCTTTTCCTACATAATTGAGAGATAAGTATACCCATTAAATGCCTTGTGTATTATTACCAATAGAATTTTTCGTACACATGTAAAAGAGGGAAATTAACTTTTATGCCTCGGGTATTTTGGGAGACAATCTATGCTGTTTAGAAGCTACATTACAAGGAAAAAAGTGATAACTATGAAAATATAAAGATACTAATTTTGAGAATCCAGTTTAGCTTAACTAATTATCTAATTTAATTATGTTTTTTTGCATATCTCTCGGGTCAATATTGATAAACTATGTCTTGAGTTTAAGTCGTGAAAAAACCCAATACAAGTAGAAAATCCAAAATCCAAATAAATACTTTTTGAACAAACAACAAATTGTTGGAGCTGGATTCCTAGCTTGAGCTACCTCCTCCCCAGGAGTAGGTACCTATATTAGAACTAAACTACGTAAATCTTTGATGTCATTATCGTTGATCATTTATTTCTCTTGTAATTTTTCTTCTCGCATTAGACTTGAATTACAAGATCCATTTGTTTCCACGTCATCTCTTAACAAATAGTTCATGTCTAATAAGTAACGTGATTATAGAATATGTCTAAGCCCTAGGGTTAATATTGAGAATGTACTCTATTGATTTACCTAAATCCCAAAAATGGTACAACTTCCAAAATAGGTCTCATCTCAACTTCTTGATTTGAGCCTTTTGAAATTTAAAACATTTTGATTTTCTAAATTAGAATACATCCTTAAAAAACTCGAGGGAAGACTCGAAACAACTCCCTTTCGATTTCAACATGATATATTCAAACATGATTTCATTTTGATTTTCTGAACTTGAATAAATCTTTAAAAGATTCAAGACACAAAGCAACTCCCTTTCGATTTCAACATGATATTCAAACTTTTTTTTTCTGACACAAGGTACAAAGTGGAGGGTACAATAATAATAGTATGAAGAGGTGTTGTTTGCTAAGCACGAGCAAACAATCCAAAGGCGGGATTGATGGTGGTAAAGCCTCCATCCACTGCCAAGTTCTGGCCACTGATGTACTTGGACCCATCACTCCCCAAATACAGAGCAGCCTCCGCCACATCTTCTTCCTGAAGACTCACCCCATCCAAGTTAGAATACACCCGGACTCCTGCATTCTCGTCGATTTTGAAGAACTCCTTTGTCAATGGTGTCAGGATGAAATACGGCGAGAGACAGTTGACGCGAATTCCGTATTGCCCGAGCTCCGCGGCCACGTTCCTCGTGAGCCCCACGATGGCGTGCTTGGAGCTGGTATACGCATGGGATGCGACTCCGCCCACACTTGAGCTGACGCTCCCGACATTGATGATGCTCCCACTTCGCGATGGGATCATGGCGCGAGCCGCATGCTTGGTCCCTAAGAAAACACCCGTCAAGTTCACGCTGATCACTCTCTCAAAGTCAGCCTTGTCATTGTCCAATATGTTGGCTTTGGGCGGGTCGCAAATTGCAGCGTTGTTCACCATTATGTCCAGCTTTCCATACTTGTCGACTGCGGTGGCAATGGCGTTTTCAATGTCGGATTCAATTGATACGTCGCAATGCACAAAGGATGCAGTCTCAGGCCCCAAATCCATGCACACCGACTTGCCCAGGTCGTCTCGAATGTCAGCTATAATGACTTTAGCCCCATGCTTGGAGAAGAGCCTTGCGGTAGATTCTCCTATGCCACCCGCCCCGCCCGTGATCACCGCAACCTTTCCCTCTAGTCTGCAAAACCTTATGCTAATGAGTCCCACTGTCTAGTTTTACATGAATAAAAGAAACTAAAGACGAGAGTATTTCTAGCCTTGATGACCATAACTCTACTCTTAAACGTAATTTCCAACATAATTAGTTGCACTTATATTGCCAAAGCCACATGAATGACCAAGTTTCTCATCTGTCAATATAAGTCCGAGAGCAAAAAAGCAATACCTTCGTGCTGCCTGAGGGAGGAGTGTTGTGGTTGCCATTTAAAGAGTGCTTCAAGTAAGGCTCTAGCTATTAGCAAGTGGGTTTTGTGTATGATTAGTGACAACAATCGAAACCAAACCTTCTCGTTATATAGACTTTTGGGGGTGGAGGCTTAACCTAGTTTCAGTCATTACTATACAGTTGACCTTGATAAGATCAAGCAGCCATTTTTCTCCCTCCGATACTAACTAATCCATGTCTGTATCATCCTATGAAGTTTCCTTCTAAGACAAGTGGTCCTCCTTTTTTCCACCCCATCAATTGGTTTGATCCCCCTCGAGCATCTTTCACGTGCCATGGAATCTGTCCTATCAAAGATGCCTCTTGCAGGTTAATTGAGGAGGTAAAGTACTGGGAAACCATTGGAAGATATATGGACAATCTCCCACTTGTTCACATAGAGCTTGAGGTCTAGAAAACAGTTCTTTGATAAGCAAAATTTATAGTTACTTAAATCTATTAGCCAAAAACAAATGAGATAATTTTCCAAAAAGCCCTAAATCTATTATACTTTCTTCTACTCACGAGGCACGCTTAAACAATCCATGAAATATTTTATAAGTCAGAAGCAAAACATATTCTTTCTTGGCTTGGCCGACTCCAACCCAAATTAGGAAAATTAATATCCTTATTTTGTTCCGAAACTTAATCCAATTTGGACTTTCTTCTACTCCGCCACATCCGACAGTCATACACCGGGCCGGATTCGCACACACTTCAATTTAGGTTGAAGTTTGTTCACGGTTCAAACTCTATGTTAACATTGAAGAGAGGCCGTGAAACAAATAGAATAATTGAAGGTTAATGCAAGTTAATCAAAGCTGGGTTCCTCCGCTCAACCCGATTTTTTGTCAAAATTATTTCACTTATAAAAAATCAATCCCGTTGTTTATCAAAAGATAGCAATCTTTCTCGTGCATTTGCAGTCACTGTGTAGCAATGCTAGACCAGATTAAGAGCATATTCCTATGTTCAATGTCAATTTGTTAGATTGTATAGCATGTCTCCAAAACTGATGATTATTATGGAGCAACATGTATGCCTAAGATTGAGAACACTTGGGATTGTTAAATATTCACGAATCAGATAAAAAGAACCAATTATCAGATGGGTGTACTCTTTGCTACATTTTTTTATTAGTTTTTGTTCTTTTCATACCTTTTAATTTTAGTAGTACTTAATAACCGACCATTCGATCGCACGAAAAGACAAGAAAAGGTTGATAAATAAGGAGGCGTTTCCCACAAGTAAGGCAAGACGAGTCTTTGTTTATTGTACTTCTTCCCATATAATTTTGTATGCTTCATTTCCGACTGATGACAGCATATGAACAGGACACGCAATGGCTCAACTTGATGATCATTACGTAATTAAGCTTACGCACGCACCTCCCATATCTTGATTTAAAGACCATTTTTGCATGTGTCCTAACCGCGCCACTTGATCATTTTAGGCTATTTGTACTAGAGCTAACTTGTAAACAAGCATCTCTTTGTTGAAATGCGACAGACGTAGACCATTGGCTTTCTTTGGGCAACTTATAAAGATAAAAACTTGGATGAAATATTAGTTGATGAGCAAGCTCAAGTGTCTTGATGCAATGCGTTGGGAAGAGTCAGCCAAAAGCTTTTGTTTGCATAGTGTAAGCATCTAGGGCACATAGTATGTGAGGCAAGAGTGAATAGACAAATTCATTTGCCAGGAATAGACTTGTCAAATGAATGGGTTATCTGACCTAAAAAAAAAGGTGGGTTGAGTTGGGTAATAAATGGTTTGATCCAAATTGACCCATTAACCTATTTATGACCAATTTATTCATCATGTAAATATTTTGACCCACACTTAATCCAACCCGTATTGCTAAAATATTTCCATATTTAAGCCAATATAGGAAAACTTGTTTCCTATGATTTTTTTAAAAAATTATTTGGCTAAAACATTTCCATACAATACAAATCTAGTGGACAATTTTTATAATTTTTTTTTAAAAATTGAGACTCCGTTTGTTTCGCGGAAAATGTGACATTTCTAAAAAATGTTTTCCATGAAGTCATTATCCAAAAAAATAACAATGTTTTCTAGTGTTTGGTTGAAACCTGAAAATGAACTAGAAAATATTTTCCACCGTTTAGTATAGAAAATCTTATTTGATTTTCATTCGTGCAATCCTTTTAATAATTTTTCTTTTTTTTTTTTTCATTTTTAGTTGGTGGCCAGCCATGGACACAGTAGGCGACTGGCCACAAGCAAGGAACGAGCTCACCCGATTTCGGCAAGCCGAGCTGAGCTGAGCTTGAGGTTGGCGACCTCAAGCTCACCCGAGGTTGGCAAAGCTCTAGCCTCGCCCAAGGCTAGTGAGCTTGTCCCTCACCTGTGGCTGGCCACCAATCGAGGAAGAAGGAAAAAGAAAAGGAAGAAAAGAAAAAGAGGTAAGAAAAAAAAATAAAAATAAAAATAATTTTGATTTTTTAAAAAATATATATTTTTATGAGGCTGAAGAGGGAGAAAAGTGTGTGTGAGCCTAGTGGGTTGGAAATGGGTTCTATACTCAACCCATTTAGACCCATTTATTTTAGGTTTTAAATTTTAAAATACATTTAAGGTAGGCTCTGTAAATGGAGTATGTATGGGCTTAAGAACCATTTTAACACGTCTAGTCAGGAAGGGCATTTACATTATATTGGCTCTCAATACCAATGTTGACATAGACTTTTGGTACTAAAAAAAACCACTTTCCAGCGATATCGTTGCACCCAACATCGGAGCATATACTATCTTTAACAAGCAATCTAACTTAACCATCTTACATTTGTATCTTCATTACTATTTCCGGTTATAAAAGGGCATTAAAGTTGATAAAAAATCCAACCCAAAAGCTTAAATTGATTGGTGGAGGAAGACCAAATAATATGTGACAAAAGGGGGGTGGACGCATATTCGCAAAAGAGATAACACTGGCTCTAATACCATGTTAAAAAGTCAAATCCAAAATCTTAAGTTGATAGGTAGAGAAAAGCCACATGGATATAAAGAGCATATAGGACTTATTTTCAAACGATATGAGACAATACTTTAACAAAAGTTATAGTCATCAGTTTACCAAACATATAGGAAGTTGTATTGAAGGATTACCAATTGTAGAAACCCGATATGGATCTTACGTAGATCGCATCAAGCTCGATCGTGCTTGCTTTAAATAAAATTTAAAACAGTTCGACCAAGATCAAGAAAAGCTCAATTCTGTTATATATATTTTAAGAATATACATTAGATAAGATTTAAACTATGAGCTAGAATTGAAAACATAGACCTCCGACCAAAGTAGTGCACATCTCCATTAGGAACCAAATATGCCAAGCATCAAACTTTGAGTGATGAGAATATAGCTATCAACAACGAGTTATAGCATTTAGTCCTCACAATTCATCGCAAGCAAAGCACTCATATGGCACACCTAATCAGCCCATGAATTTTTTATTATATATCAGAAACAAAACAAACCCTTTATTGGCTTGGCCTACTCCAACAAAAATTAGGAAAGTTGATATCCTTGTTTTGTTCGGATGTACTTTTTGCTACATTTTCTATTAGTTTTTGTTATTTTTTCTATTTTTAATAACAGAGGATAAGATCCAAGGAAAAGACAAAAGAAGTTGATGCAAAAGGAGGCTATCTCACATGCAAGACGAGTCTTTGTTTATTCTACTTCTCCCCAAATGACGTATGCTTTCCGACCTTCGAGAGCATATGAACTGGTCATGGCCCAACTTGATGATATCGTTGGAACTTGAATTAAGTAAAAGTTGATCAATTAGGAGGGTTTTGCACGTGCAAGATGAGACGAGTCTTTGTATATTCTACTTCTTTCCAAATTTTATATGCTTCATTTCCGACTGACGACAACGTATAAACAGGTCACGCGATGACTCAACTTGATGATCATTAAGAAATTAAACTTATGTACGCACCTCCCATTTCTAATTCTTCAAATTCTGGTCATAGCAACATTTTTATAATCTTGATGTAAAAAACATTTGTGCATGTGTCCTAATTGTGCCACTTGATCATTTAAGGCTATTAATATAAGAGCCAACTTGTAAACAAGCATCTCTTTGTTGAAATGCGATAGACCATTGACTTTCCTTGGGCAACTTGTAAATATAAAGACTTAGACAAAATATTAGTTGATGAGCAAGCTCAGGTGTCTTGATGCAATGCATTGGGAAGAGTCAGCCAAAAGCCTTTGTTTACATTGTAAAAGAATTTAAGGAAACCTAGTATGTGAGGCAAGAGTGGAATGACAAATTCATTTGTTAGGAAGCACATTTACATTATATTGGTTCTCAATACCGACGTTGACATAGACTTTTGGGACTAAAAAAACCACTTTCCAGCGATATCGTTGCACCCAACATCGGAGCATATACTATCTTTAACAAGTAATCTTACTTAACCATCTTACATCTGTATCTCCATTACTATTTCCGGTTATAAAGAGGCATTAAAGTTGATAGAAAGTCTAACCCAAAAGCTTAAATTGATTGGTGGAGGGAGACAAAAAAATATGTGACAAATGGGGGGTGGACGCATATTCGCAAAAGAGATAACACTGGCTTTAATACCATGTTAAAAAGTCAAATCCAAAATCTTAAGTTGATAGGTAGAGGAAGGCCACATGGATATAAAGAGCATATAGGATGTTCGTAAAATTCTGCACGTGTCAACGAACGTGTTGAACAAGTAATATAATGATGAGAAGAGTATCGTCCCACAGAGATTGATGATAATAAACCAATTAAATATTAAAAATGGACTAATTCTAAAATTTATCTAACTGATCAAAATATAATTGAGAACAAATAAAAATTGACAATTTTTAAAAACGAAATTTTTTAAACTAAAGGCAGATAATCAATCAGGTAAAATATGTTAGAGCATCCAATTTCACCATAACCACTAGATATGAATTTCGGATCATTATGCATACAAGAACAATATC